CTCTTCAGCGGCCAGGTCCCCGAGATCTCCTTTGCGGATTGCCCCTTGTGCCCAACCACTCTTGAGGTTCAGGGCTTTCACATACCCAGCTTCTTTTGGGGCATCCTTGCCGGGCTCGCTTTGGGACCTCTGATAGATCTAGTCTGCATACTGAGGGTTAGCTGGGGCAACTTCGTTCGTTTGCGCGTGTTTGGCAGGCAGGGAACTCAGCTCTACCGCGTCCTTTCATGAGCCGCAGGGGCTCCGGTGACCTCCGTCAGCTTGCTGAGGCCGTCGAAGACCTTTCCCTTGAGGTACGCCGACAAGGCCTCCTTCTGCATCGGGTGATTACCGCTCTTGAGCGTCTGGACTTGGATTTGGATTTTGAGAGGGTCAGCTCTGCTTCGCCTTCCGAACCACCTGCCCTTACCCCTAGGGTTTCTCTTGGGTTTAGTCCTCGCTCCCTTACCGGGGTAGACCCTAGTCCCGAGCCCCGCCGTGGACTTTCTCCCCCGACCTCTGTACCCCTTGCAGCGGCCAAGGCCGCCAGCTCAGACCGACAGGGTCGCAGAGAGCTCGCCGCATCATCCTCCCAAGCCCCTAGGGGTACCTTAGGGTTTAGTCCCTCTAGGCCCTCTGCCGGCTTAAGCCCTAGCCCCGAACCCCGCCTTGCAGCCCAGTCCTCTTCTTCCCCTGCAGCTTCCTGCGCGGCTGCTAGTGCTTCGGCTGCTCCTCGTGTTGGGCCTCAGCCTGTTCAGCGGCCCCCTCAAGGCATTTCCGAGGAGGAGAGGAGGGAGATTGCAAGAGAGATCGGTGGCTTCTTCGCTCGTGCTTTGGCTGGCCAGTTTCGAGGCCAGAGTGGCAGAAGCAGGAACCCGCTTCAGTCTCGGTTGTACGTTGTCCTGCGCGGAGCTTCGGGCGAAGACTTCCGCCCCCCGGTTCTTTGCCGTACCCTTGCTGAGGTGCGCGGGTACTGTGAGGAGGAGGGCCAGCTGAGGAACAGTATCTTCTGCGGCTTCCCTTCCTTGTGGGAAGCAAAGCTCGCTTGCGAAGCCGCCGGCTTGCCTTTGCCTGCCTACAGGGACAATGTCCGAGGCCAGTGATGACTCAGAGGCCAGCAGGCCTGACCGCCCCATGGAGCTGGGGTATGTCTACGTTGGTGGCACTACGAATTTCAACTTCAGTGTTGGCGCCCTCGCGGTTGGCGAGGAGTCAAAGACTGTGGCCATTGCTCTTATTACTGACTATGAGGACCGGGTCGTCGTTGCATTGCCCAGCAAAGCCTGGGATAAGAGGGTGAAGCACCGTAAGGTTTCCAGCCCTTTTGCTCGCCCCTCCTTGGTCCAAGTTCTTGCTGCTGCTCCCGATGACCGTGAGCAGCCCTCCGATGCTTCAGTGAAGGTTTGGATTGGTCTCCTCGCTCGACAGGTTGCTGCTGCGGTGGTCTTTGGAGGACTACCGGAGGAGTGCGACGTCCCTTTCCTGAGCTTGGATTCTTCTCCCTGCCTGCCTTTNNGCAGCTGCTCTTGTGCAGGTTGCTGATGCACAGTTTGGTTTTGCTACAGCCCGCTCTGCAGCCGACCCTTCCCAAGAGGCTCGCCTACGAGCCATCGAGGCTTCGATTGATAAGCTCTCCCGCGCCGTCTCCGCAGCCGTTGGGGCCGGCGCTCCAGGTGCAAAGGTTGCTGCCTCTACCAAGCAAGGTGCCAAGGCTAAGACGAAGGTAGGCCGTCCTCCTGAGTCGGTGCCGGGCACCCCGATGCCAAGGGGCACCGCGCGTGAGGTCCCAGGCCTTGACCCTGCTGTTGTTCGGGCTGCCTTGGACGCTGGAATCGAAAAGGGCCAGCTCGAGGAGCTGAAAGGCCTGTTGGGTGAGAAGCGTTCTGCCCTTCGCGACTTCCCGGCTCAGAGGAACGAGCTTGACGATGCCGAGGGCCTTCTCCGGGGTCAAGAGTTCGGGGGAGCTTCTGGTTCTGAAGCGCCTTCTGAAGGTGTTGCTGGTGCTGGGGTTGCCTCCTCTCCGGTTGAGCATGCCGTTGTCGCGTTGACAAAGATCGTCAGCGAGCTCTCTCGAGGCCGGCGGGGCCCCGACAAGACGAACCTAGAGGCTGCGCTGGACAGGGCCGAAGGCTTCAGTACTGGGGCCGAGGGGTCTCTGAGCTCTTCTTCTGGGTCCCGCTCAAAGTCCACCGCCTACCGTGTCTTGAAGGATGCGGTCAGAAATGACCCGGCTCAGGTTTACAGCAGCATCGAGCGCCTCCTCGAGGAGGATTTGCTGCACAGGCAGCTTGACGCTGGGCTTGCCGATGCCAAGGCCACCTCGCGTGGCTGGCTAGAGCATCGCTCGCATCTCTCCTTGTATCCCACAACGGTGCGTCTCCTGTGGGCTATCACGGGAATTTGGGACTGCCTCAGATCTGACCGCCCCGACGAAGCCCGTGCTCGGGCAGCCTTGGCTGTGGCTGCCGCGGACCAGCAGGCGTTGGACGGGGGAAGCTGGGTTCTTGCAGAACACTTCTTGCTTGAGCAGGGGCCTCCGCTTTCGGCTTTCGCTAACCGCAGAAATGCCCAGCTCGACCCCGTTGATAGCTATCACACGAGACTTTTTGAGCCGCGCTGGGCCGAGCTCTGCCTCCACAGAGTTCGTGAGCTTGAGCAGCACCTCGAGGCGAAAAAGAAGCTGGGGGGAAAAGGCCGTCCCGCTCCCCCTTCTGGCTCCGACTCACAAGCTGACCAAAGAGCCGACAAGCCCGAGCGCCAGGGCGGAAAGGGCGCAAAAGGCCCCTCCGGGGGTCAGCCGAAATGAGTTTCCTCTTTTGTTTTCGCTTAGCGCTCTGGCTGCCGCTTTGGGCCGACCCAATGGCTGCTCCCGGGGCGCTTGCTTCTACAGTGGTCCCTTCGGACTTGTGGCCCTCCTTGGGCGATTTTCTGCAGCGCTTCCCCGAAGTGCACGGCACCTTCACAACCAGCACATTCCCTGACTTTGGGCCTGCGTGTCCTCCCTCGTTCTTTCGCCGCTCCCTCGCCGAGGTCGGCCCTTCTGTGTTTGAAGTACAGCACGGCAACCATGGCGCTTTTGAGTGCATCGCTATGGTGCTGGATTTTCTTTCTTCTGAGCCTTGCCACCGGGTCAAGCGTGGCCCTGGCCGTTCTTTTCTCTGTGCTCCTTTCTCAGGGGAGCTTGCTTCTGCTTCGGCTCGGGCTTGGGCCCGAATAGCTGAGGCTGTTGACATGTGGAACTCCCAGCCTCCTGTCACTGCCGGGGATATGGGCAGAACTGCAGTTAAGGTCGAGAAGGTTGAGGCCCAGGTCCGTGCTCTGGCTGTGGTCGACCCAAGTGCTCGCTGCTCCTCCCTCCCTGACCTGAACCTAGCAAAGGACGTGGAGGTTTCTCGGGTTAGCCTGCCTCGCAGCCGGCCGGCTTTCGACCCGGCTCCCTTCTTGGACAGGGATCTTCGCTCGCTGTACCTTAGCCCCAGCCTCCACAGCGTGCCTCTTGAAGATGCTCCGGCCCCTCCTCCCCGCGTCACTTTCAGGTGTTCCTCAAAAGATGCCCGGATGGATTTGCTGACCGCTTTGGATGCTTCGGGCCGCCTTCGTCTCTTCAGAGGGGACCTGCATGACCATCGCACCGCCTGCGGGCTGTTTGCAATCCCGAAAAGCACTGAGGCCGATCGGCTGATAGTCGATGCCCGCCCGGTGAATTTGGTTATGGCCTCCGACATGACTTGGCTCGGCACCATGGGGGCGGCCACTGCATTGCTTCGGTTCGAGCTGGAGGACTCTGAACAACTTTACCTTTCGGGGGACGACATTCGTGACTACTACCATCAATTCCTGACTACGGAGGATCGCTCCGCTCACTATCGATTTGTGGGCTTCTACTCCCCTTCCTCCCTGCAGCACCTCTCTTGCTTCACAGCCGACCTCTTACAAGCCCCTTGTGTTATTGCAGCCTTAAACTGCATGGCCATGGGAGACGTAAATGCTGTGTCGATAGGGCAAGCGAGTCATATCGGCTTGGTGCTGGGGGCCGGGGTGGTCTCTTTTGAGCAGTTGGTGTGTTTGCGAAACCCCCCTCCTAGGCAGCCTCTTGGGCTCGGTGTCATCATTGACGACTTGATTGTCATCGAAAAAGCTGCCAGGGGACAGGACTTTGACCCTCAGACTTGCCACAGCCCTCGCATCGTTGCCCGGATGCATGAGGTCTACTCCTCAGCTCGTCTGCCTCGTCACGAGAAGAAGGGTTTCTTCATGGAGAGCCGGGCTTCCTTCTGGGGCGCCGACGTCCTCGGCGATGTGGGGCTTGTTCGCCCGTCTTGGTCCCGTCTGTCCCCGCTTGTTTCTCTGACCCTTGCTGTCTTAGAGCTCCCAGCCTTGACGGTCTCGCTCCTTGAGGTGCTTGCGGGGTCTTGGGTTTCGGTGCTTTCTTTCAGGCGCCGCGCGCTTTGCTTGCTGGACCAGGTCTACTTGCTGCAGCGAGGCCGTGGCCGTCAGGACTTGGTCGAGAGCACTGTCGCCCTTCGAGTTGAGTTGTTTTCGCTGTGTGCTCTCGCGCCCCTCATCCGCACCGACCTTCGGGCTAAGTCCAGCGGGCTTATCGTTGCTTCGGATGCTTCAGACAACTTGGGCGCCTATGTCACCTGCCGGGTTGCTCCTTGCCTGACGCGTGAGCTTCAGCGCCACGTCCCAACAAAGGGCCTTTGGGCTCGGCTCCTTTCTCCTTCTGACAGCCTGCTGAAGCGCCGTGGCTTCTTACCTCCTGAGAGTGAGCTGCCTGGCCAGGTGTACCGCACGAGCCCTCTTTGGACCCAGCTTGCTCAAGCTCTCTCCTTTCGTTTAGGGGCTGTGTTCCGCAGACGTCGTGCTGATCACATAAACCTGAAGGAGATGGATTCCTACTTGGCCGTCGAGGCGGCCCTGGGCTTCCGTGACTGGGAGTCTTCTCGCTCCCTTGCCTTACTGGACTCTCAGGTTTGTTTGGGATCTCTCCTCAAGGGGAGGTCAGCTTCTTTCTCCATAAACCGTCGCCTCCGTTCTGCACTCGGGGGTCTTCTTTTCTTCAATCTGCATCCTTCCTGTGCTTATGTCGCTTCGGCTGACAACCCCTCCGACGATCCCACTCGTCTCGTGCCGTTGCGACTCCCTGCTATTCCTGAGCCTGCGTGGCTTCGGCTTGCCGAGTTGGGGGACTTCTCTGCCTTGGACTCTTTCCTAAAGGATTGCAACCTGCACCCCCTTCAGGTCCAGGGTTTCGACGTTCTTGCTGAGAAGTTCGCCTCTCGTGACACTGCCCCTGGCTTTTACGGCGAGTCCTCTCTTACAGGGCGGGACCCCAGTCCTTCTGCAGCGCCTCAAAACCCCGGGGCTGACGGGCTCCCATCCTCTGAGGCTCCTGGCCACTGCAGCCCTGGATTTGGGCCTACCGTTCGTTCCTTCCTGCAAAGCTGCTCAAAACGGCAGTTCCTTTGGCCAGCCGGCCACCGACCGCCCGCACAAGCCTGCCCTACGGCCCCAGGCTACCTGTGCCTCTACTCGGGTTCAAGAGGTGTGGCAAAGGCTGCCGTCAAGGCAGGTTTCCCTTGGTCTCTCACTTTCGACTGGCTCCACGACTCACGCCAGGACTTGCTGGATCCTCGGTTGCAGGAGCTTCTGCTCAAAAGCCTCGAGGGCCACGCTTTTAGTGCAGTCGGCCTCTCTCCGGGGTGTCCGACCTTCAGTGCTGCTGTTCGCCCTCCCCTTCGGAGTCGGGACCATCCTACCGGTCTTCCAGATCTCCCTACAAGCTGCCTTTCCCGAGTCTGCCACGACAACAAGCACTGCACGTTCGTCGTTCGTGTCGTTAAGGTTGCTGTTAGCTTAGGGGTCCCGGTTTGGCTTGAGAACCCTGAGGGAAGCTGGCTATGGAAGCAACCCGAGGTCACTGACTTGGTCCGGAGCTGCCATGGCCTAGGCTTTTGGGTCTTCGACTGCTGTCGCTTCGGTTGCAGGTGGCGCCGCCGCACGTGCATCCTTACTACGACTGACCTGCAGGGCTCAAAGCTGCTGTGCTCAGGCTGCGCCGACCACCTCGTGCTCCGCGGGCGCGTGGCTGGGACAGCCTTGAACTGGACGAAGGTTGCCGAAAGCCTTCCTCAGCGAGCTTGCGAAGTTTTGGCGAGGGCCCTTTGGACTGCCGTCACTAGGCCGGGTGCTTCTGTTAGCAGCTGCGTGCGCGACGACGCCGACCACATTGGTGAGGCAAAAGTGCCAGGACCACGGAAGCCTCTTCAAGCCAGGCGCGGCTCTCTCTTCGACGTCGAGCTGGTGGAGCAGAGGACCATCTCACTTAGAGCACGAGTTTGGGGGGCTTTCGTCGGCTGGCTAAGGGAGAAAGTCTCAAACGAGGCTGTCCTGGCTCTTTTTAGCTGCCCCCCGCTTCTTGCTTTGGTTTTGCGGGACTACGCCGACGAGCTCTACAAAACTGGTGCTTCGCTGGGCTCTTACAGACAGCTGCTGGCGCACGGGCAAAAGCTCCTTCCTTTGCTGAGGCCACACCTTAAACCAGCTTGGGAAATGGTGTCTCGCTGGGAGGAGATCCAGCCGATCTGCCATCGCACTCCCATGCCGGAGATTGTCTTGAAGGCCATGTGCGGCCTTGCTTTAGCTTTGGGCTGGAAGAGGTGGGCCGCCGC